TTTTTTTTTTTTTTTTTTTTTTCATACGACGACACTGTCGTCATCGGTAGCACGATGGGATAACGAGAGTTACTACCGTTCGCGCTATCGCGGATATAGTCATTGACGATGAATGATCTTACCGATAATCGTCATCGTCATCGCAGTACCCGTTTATATACATGAACGCATATATATAGCGCGGAAGGAAGCCAACTCATCTTTTCCTGCGCGAGCGATGAGTCATCGTTAAATCGGGTATACGCCTCCCAAGAATCGTCAAGTCGGTACCGAATTGTCATTACGTTAGAATGACAATTCTAAACGCCGGTGTTGCGCAACTTAGAACAGAAGAAGAATAAAAGAAAAATCATCCGGCCGATATATCCGTCGCAGTTGCATATCCGTCCTATAAATAATAATTTGAAAAAAAAAAAGGTGCAGAACGACGATCCATCCAAGTGCGATAAGCGAGGCCGATGATCTCGACGGGATGATCCCTTGTCTATTTTTACACGATAAACAGTTTGCGTTTAGTCGCCACCTGCGTAATTAACCTCAAGATTGGGGTTAGGTTAGATTAAATTCAAATTTCAAGGAGGTTCCACGCAGTACAGACTGTCTGCCGATACGCGTCGCTGTTGTCATCGGATACCATCGTTGTTATTAGTTTTAATCGTTACTCAGTCGCAGCCCGTCTCTCTCGTTAACACGTACGAGCGGTGCCTGTCTCGTGCGAGCTAATTGTCACGCTGCCATTGTTATCGGCGCGCTATCAGTAGTCCCCGAGAACGTAGCGAGAGTGAGAGAGAGAAAAGAATCTAGGTATAGAAACGGAAAGAGACGTACGGCTGGCGATGGGGTTTATCGAGCAGCTGACCCATGCCAAATAAAATAACCCCGAAAGGGGATATAGGGGCCTCTATCGGCGCCGGCGATAACTTATCTCACTCGCATAATATAACAATTTAGCAATTACGCCGTGAGATAGGATACATCCCGAGAGCGTTAATTGGCGCCTGGGAAGGGAAAATATTTATAGTTTGCCAGGCGATTTGCGAGGTACGATATATGCCTGTGTTGATATTCGTGGGGGTGGGATGGGCAGGGGGTGAGAAGGTGGCAGAGAGAAGGCGAGTTAAATGAAAATGGGAAAGAGAGGAGAAAAAAAGTTTTTGCGTTTTGGCGTCAGAGGGGGGG